TTCAAGGAGGAATACGAGGTACATAAAATATATATACTATGTAGACTTATCAAAATCATTTGATTGTGTCAATTCACATATGCTATTGAAAAAAAAACTAGAAAAATATGGCACAAGAAATACCAAGCGTTGGTAACTGTAAAATAGGAAGTAGTAGGTAAGCTCTGAAAGCACCGCACCGCCTCTGACCTTCTGCCTATTTGTAAAGGAGTACCGCAGGAACCAATACGAAATATTACCTTGCTGTCTACACCAAAACACGGGTTTGGACGGTCTGGAACAAGCCAAAAGACATATAATATTACAGTTTCCTCTGACAGGTGGGTTGTGAAATCTGAATCAGACTAAACTGGACATCCCACATTGAGTATTTACATTCTAGATTGTTTACACAACTATTTGTTCTTAGGCAGCTTAGCAGATAACTATACTTTGCAGGTAGGGTACTTCCATAGGCACACTACATATCGCATGACGCGCTGGGGAAACTCTAGAAGAATTTTTATTTTACAAAAAACAGCTTTGAGGATTATTACAAATTCCAGTTATGGATCAAAAATTTATAAACATTACCAAATCCATCAAATCATATTTTTAAAGTCCTAGCAGACCTAACTACCTAACCTAACCTAATTATATAATTTATTCGTCAATGCAAATTAAGAACATACTTTTGAAAAGATGTCTAACAAACTCCGTTAAACTTTGTTAAAAAAATTGCTTGACCACTGTTTCTATTTCAGTCCGTTTATGCTATGGCATCACTCGGATAGAAAATAAAATAGTTTGCAAGACCTCACATGTACAGAGTGGCCAACTAAGGATGCCAGGTACCCTCTGTATCTGGGAACATATCCATCGTCGATATTTGCGGCAAAAAAGTTTTTACTAAAACGGCCAAGAGTAAAACCTCGAAAATATATATTTACAAGTTTCTGAAATGGCCTAAAAAAGTGATGATTCTATGAATTCCGCTATACAAAAAAGGTTCTTATCTTAAAGTCGAGGATAATGTGAATTTTTTTGTTATGTGTCTTATATCATAACATTTGTAGCCCAAGAATAAATAGCTTTTTTCAACTAGCCCAAGTTTGTTAAAATCGGCCCAGCCGTTTTGAATACTCCCCAACACAAATTTTTAGAGATACAGCAAAAATTGTCAGACACAAAAGGTTCAGATTATCCTAGAATTTAAAGATCAGGTATTTTTTGTTAGGCTAATATAGCGGACTTCACAGAAACATTACTTTTTTAGATCCAAGATTTCAGTTACGCCCAGTAGCGGCCATTTCAGGAACTTGAACTTGTTTGATGACATGTTATTCTGCGACCCCTTGATTACGTTTCTTACCAACACATGAGCGAAAAAACGGCGTTAAGCTGCAGCTACTAAAAAATACTTTTTTAAGATCCCAATGTCAAACATATAGAAAATGATTGACAACAGAATATCAAAGACGCGCAAGGCGACTACTATACGAAAAAGATTCTTTGATGTAATTTCAGTATTTTTGATCCATTTTCTGATAATATTTATTTTGTTCAAGGTTCTGGCTATCGAGCTGAACAGAGGCTGGAATAGCAGACTGGGATTCAGTCTACAAGGAGCCGCTGGAGTGACTTACGTCAGTGCAGTGCATCCCGACAGTGTGGCAGCCAAAGATGGAAGGCTAAAGCCTGGTGATCGTCTGATAAAGGTACCTATTTTTTATCGACTTTTTTATTTCTTATAGCTTTGAAATTATGGTAAAAAATTATGTTCTCAAATTCCTAGTATCCCTAGAATTTGATTTATTAAAATATCGTCATTTTATGTGACTTGGGAGATTTTCCATATATTCCGAGACATATATCAACACTTATATGTTTGTTTTAGGTTAATGATGAAAGTATTGAACACATGAATACCAGCGAAATAATAGATCTTTTACGGATAGTGAGGGGTCCTGTGTGCATCGTTGTGACGAGAGTAAAATCTCATGAAGACTGTCCAAAAAGCAATGCGGAGAATTGAGCAACTGTAGTACAATTTTGTAAATTCTAAGAGCAGCTATCAAATCGCTACCTTTTTCATTTTAGTATGAAAACGTTTCAGTTTAAAGAATGCACAAAGGATTGTTCATCGAAGTAAGCGGTACCATATTACCCAGAACTTTCTAGAACCATTATAGGTCAAGTTTAGCAGAATCGTTAACATTTGAGTTTTCTGAGCGCTTAAGTATAAGTCATATGGCACTGCTATAAAAAATATGAACAGCACTTGAAAGGTGCATATGGGCATTTCAATGAAGCTCTTTTTCCAAAATTCTTCTTATGTATTTTGCGCAAATAATCATGCAGTGAATTCTTACTTTTAAATTGCAAATTAAATGATTTAACATATCAAAGAACAATTATTTTTGGCTATTTGAAATATGCAGGAGCCAAACATTTCTATCGAAAAAGAGAAAAAATACAATTTTTATGAAATACTTCGATGAACATTCATTATTTGTATTTGGATGTTTTGGATTTGCTGAACATTCATTTATCAACTACATTTTGTAATAAGTGGCTCTAAATCGAAGACAGCTAAGCATATTTTTTGTTTGATGAATTTTGTGATAACTGCGTTATTGAAGAGACTTTCATGTTTTCCTCTGAATTGTGATTGAATTTTATTATGAAAATATTTTAATAGTGTTCCTGTTGATTTCAATTTGTGTTTATACGCTAGTCTCTACTGTAAAGTTAAAACTTGTATAGACTTGTTATATAAGTCTCGAAAATACAGGTGTCCTACTTTTTTCAGGCACGAAATTGAGTTCATATGCAGTGCGTCTAGTAATATTTGCTTGAGACTCTGAAAACTTACATCAAATTTTTCTTCAATCTTAATGAAAATACTCAATCATTATTACAAAAAAATGGCAAGTTTTCAGGTCCCCAGTTATGCCAGCCTCACAAAAAATATAATAGACACACTGTATATGTGGATTTTTAAAATGCATTCGCAACTGTGCCATAAAATGATTTTAGCTCTGTATGTTTGTTCCAATACAATTATTTTCTGTGTACCACTTTATGACCAAAAATTATTTTTTGTAAAGGTTTCTATATCGCTGATGATTCAAGTAGGATAGACTGTAATAACTGCTAGTTATGTAAAATCTATTTAGATTCTATGTGTAAAAGTAGATTCACTATGCAGTATTCTAACTCAATTATAAAGTAATAATACATTAAAATAAATGAATTCTAAATTTTTGCCTCAATAGGATACGTTATTTTTTGTAACGATATGGAATCAAAAGTGTATATCCCACTCTACGACTACCTACTTAGCAATATTAAAAGGTTAAGATACATAGTTTAAAGGAAAATATATTCCATTTCGTTCTAATGTTCAACAGACTTTCTTTGTATTTTATATAGATTTTTTAGGATACTCGTTCTTATTTCAAACCAAAGACATTATGAATAAATATCGTTGAATTCCACTATCGTATTTTATTGTATTGTTTTCTATGCCCTAGACCCCGCTACTGAATGTATTACTTTAACACTAATTTATAACAAATTTATAACTATGTCGACTGGACTATTTTTCCGTCTTAACTCCGCGCTCGCTGTTCACTGACTGTCTCGACTGCGCCTGACTGCTTCCGCCATCAGGTCGGGTATTTATTTACTTATCGACGAGTCGAGAAACATTCCTGCGTTTTCGCAATTTTCCTTAGGAGGTGCTTCCAGATGGTCTCGATTATTCTTGAACCTCAACTAAGCCTGCAAGTGCTCACGTCAGGTCACGTAACTGTGGTTGCCTAGCGTCGAAACTGCGAGGGCACTCTACGTCACCCAAGGTTCCAGCTATACGAGGGCGTTACAGTATGTTAATCTTGAGTAAAATTGCACTACATAAGAGAAGGCGTACCAGCTTACCTAAACAAACCTCAGATGCAGAAGATACGTAAGCATTTTGATTGATATTTTTCGCAATAATCCGTTTTAGACCGAGATCTCGCGGCGGCCAGTCCTTGGTTATTTGATTTATTACACTTGCAACTAATTTATAATAAATTTATAACTATGTTGACTGGACTATTTTTTCGTCTTAACTCCGTGTTCGCTGTCCGCTGACTGTCTCGACTGTGACTGACTGTTTCCGCCATCTAGTCAGGTATTTATTCCCCTATCGGCGAGTCAAGAAACATTCCAGCGTTTTCGCGAACTTCTAAGTGGTCCAGTTGACAGCAGGTGCCTCCAGATGGGTCTTGATTATTCTTGAACCTCGGCCAAGCCTGCAAGGGCTGACGCCCGGTCGCGTAACTCAGGTTGACTAGCGTCGACATCGCGAGGGCGCTCTACGCCACTCAAGGTTCCAGATATACGAGGGCGTTTCGGTATGTTAAGTATTGATATCTGAGTAAAAATTGCACCATCTAGGGGTGTAAAATCAACACCGGCTTACCAGAACCAACCTTAGATCCAGATTTAGGAATATACGTAAAAATTTGATTTGATATTTTTCGCAATAATCCGTTTTAGACCGGAAGCCCGCGACGGGCAGACCTTGCTTATTTTATTTTTAAACTGAAAGTTTCTCTGTGCACATAGCCAATACAGGTAAGAACGGTCAGCGACTATGAAATTTGGATCGTGGTTACTCCAGTATGTTATACAAATAAATTTGTATTAAAAATTCCTTAGTTCATAGAACTACCAAAGTAGTAGTTGTAGATAAGGATATAATCATTAAAGTTTACCAAAGAACACGTGAAATATACAAAAAGACTCTGGGACGTCGCTTGTTCACATGTTTATTTTTCCAAATACCGCGTTCGGCACCGTCTTTTAGGAATTCCAGTGTACTACCATGACATTTGCTTTGATAACGTTTTATCTACTTTTTTAGCAAAAATGCTAATCATACATTAAAAAATCAGAACATCCACTCTATATATCAGATTAAATGACGATGCAGTTCTAATAAAATTATTATTATATATTCATTCCCAATCTATGACTGATAAGGATTTTTAATCGAGCGCGCTATTCATATATTTAGTATATAACGTATAGACAGGTTAAAGGTTCAAACCATTTCAGTCATTCCTTTCTAATTATTTGTCAGTGTCCGTGATAATTCCAACGCCACCATGAAGCTAGTGTGCAGCATTATTCTTTTATCTATTTTGAGTTCTTCGCAGGTATGTGCTTCAGACGTTAAAAAGTGCATTTTACTGTAACATGTACTAAAAATGCTTGTAAAAGAAATCAATGGTAACTTGAGGCGGTTTAGTGCCACAACGTTTTTATGTTGTATCGCAGTAACAATAGGATAGCCATGCCAGTTTGCAGCAGTTTTCACTTGGCTATTATCAGATTTGATAGTTTGTTGACCAAACGCTGCGAACACTGTCAAAGGTAATCCAAAGCTAGTGTGATACAGCATCAAACCGCTATGCAGAACCGTTTTAAGTTGCTATAATGTCCAAAATACAAAATCAAATCATATACAATTCGAAAGTAACATGAATTATATTAAAGTAAACACTACTTGTCATTTTAGAGTTTGAGATTGTAATGGTTTCATCAGTCAGTATCACCGATGATATACATTTTGGCGTGAATAGATCTTTTCACAGTGTTTGGCGGGCTACTGTAAAACTACAGGAGTTACTTCCATACATCCACCTCCCTCACACATGTGCAGGGTGAGTTTTTAGTGAGGGCTCAGTAGGTAACTTCGTTATTACGCATGATAAATAAGAAGTATAATTACAAAAATTGTAGCCCCTTACTTGAAAAAAAAAATTCTTTAGGGTGATTCATAATTACATCCAAATATACATTTTTATACAGTAGGTCCCAACGTATTGTTGTACGATATTTTCCCCTATACGCTTACTTTTTCAATATTGGCTTTAGTTTATACAGGGTGGTCAAGAAAGCAAAATGAACGATTTCTCAAAATTTTCAAGTGCTATAATACCCTGTATACTTTCACAATTTTTGATTCGCATTTTCACAGGCTTTTTTCTGATACATGGTTTACGGGGACGTGTGCAATTAGTTTATCAGTTACCTACGAAAAGCCCGGACTCCTTGACTTTCCAACTTTACTGCATAAGGTTGGGTAGATTTAATTTGTAATGAAAATACACAAATTTTAACCATCTACAAAAAGGTAAACTGTAACTCAGAAACTGTTACAGTACAAACTCCATACCATAAATCTTATATCGACAAAAAGCTTGTGAAAACAGGGATTCAAAAAACTTTGAGAAATCGTTCATTTTGCGTTCTTGACCACCCTGTATCGAAAATACTGAAACAGTAAGTAGATAGAAAAAAAATTGGGATCATAAAAATTTTTCTGAAGAATAAATCAGTCGTCTAGCTGTAACGGTTGCAGAGGTACGAGCGGTTAAAGTTGTTTTTTTTTGGGTAGATTGTCCAATATCTCAAGAATTTAGAAATATAACCCTATAGTACGTAAATCAAATTGCTTCGTTAGAAAGAGCCTACCCGAATCTGCAATAAAATGTATACCATTCCATTAAAAAAATGTATGTTTGTGTCACCACGTAGTTATGTGTCACCCTGAAAAAATGAAACATATTTTCCAAGAAAGGAGCATACTAGAAACTGACCCTGTATATGTAATCGACTACTGTGCGGAGATGTTTGTCACAGATATACGTGTTTCAGTTTCGCCGTCTTGAACGTTTCCTCGTCAACATATGAGTCTTCCACATTTATGCGTGTCACTGTCAGTTTGACAGCTTGCTGTTAGTGGACTTGCGATTTGAATTTACCTTTTGTGGGTATTTGTAATATAAAACATAGCAATGCCTTAAATACAACTGCAATGTCGATAATTTGTGTTGAATTTATTTAAGTATTTTCAGAAAGCGAATCTATTATCAAATTTATGCTAGTGTGCAAAGGCGAGTAGCAGGTGCGTTAAGGATCCCTTACGCATTGTGAAATTTCCCTGTTTACTTGTAACCCTTAGCAAAAAAGCCTATTGCTTCATGATCAACGCACTCTCTAATTTTGTTTCAGGCTGCAGATAAATTAAAAGTATCCTTGTACTACGAATCATTATGTCCAGGATGTAGATATTTTATCCAGCATCAGTTGTATTCTGTCTACACTCAATTTGCGAACTACTTGGAATTGGACATGGTGCCATTTGGAAATGCTGAGGTATTTTTTTTTTCATCTGGGTGGGTTTCCATCATCGTAAAGAGTGTCCAAACTAATGATTTTAGGATTATATCATAGTTGTCTATATATTTATTGATACTGAAGCAGCCGCGGAGGCAGCAACCCAAATACCAGGGCACTGTGACTAATATAAGAAACTTAAAGAAGCATTGTAAATGTATATGTCTGGTGATACCCAGTTCAAAATATATCCTAGATGTTCATTTTTAGTTTAGGAAAGTTGGAAACAAATGGCAATTCGACTGTCAGCATGGCCCGAAGGAATGTTACGGAAACATTATACATGCATGTTCTCTAAATTCGAGCACTACAACAGCAGCTCTAGGATTCATAGCTTGCTGTGAAGGACAACAAGACAGCACGTCAGATCAAACTTTCCAGAAGGTAAATGTCATTAGTGGCAAAGTAATCTCATCCTTTCAACCCGACTGCGTGTGAAGGCGGGTTATGTTTCTCGCGTGTCTGTAGACAAAAAAAATCTATTTCATGGGCTATAGTCCCAATAGTTTGTTGAATTTTGACATATGAGATGTCTCTAGATATCTCTTGAAATGCGAGTAACACAGGGTACATTAAAATTTTATAAAGTTAAAATAACAGATTTTTAAATGTCCCATACGACCGAAATGGATAAGGTGCGATGCGGAAATTGCATCTTACATTCCTTCAACATTCGTTGTCTTAGTGGGATTTCAAAAGAGTGGAAGATTTGATTTGTTAGCACAATTAAAGCTTCATTCTTTTCAGTACTGCAGGTGGGTATTTTGTATTTTTATTAGATGTACCTGTTAAAATATCACACGCTTTTATTTAAAAATTTGAAACGAAGGAACGTCATTATTGATTAAAGGGTGAGAAGTATATAACGGTCTATTTCCAATAGAAAACATATTTTCGGTGGCGTAGCTACCTTGGGTGGCACACGGTGCCGAAGTTGGTGGTGTCACCCCATCGAAAGAAAAGCCATAAATTTTATATGATTTATAAACGTCACGGATCATTTAATATTCATATTTAAAATATTGTACAAATAACAAAACACAATAAAAAAACTAAGAAAACATTTTTTTACCTTACAATTAAAATTTCTTCTTTCTAGCTTTGACACCTGCAGACTCGGAAATAACTTCATCAAAATTTATATTTTGTATCGTGTTCGATAGCTAATATACCAAAATTGCTGAACCGCGACTGGGTCATTGTTACCCGCAAGTAGTTTTTTATTAATTTTACTTTACTCAAACTCCTTTCATATGAAGCTACGGAAACGCAAACCGTCATGAACAATTTTAGTGCAATCATAACATTTGGAAGAGATGCTGTAAAATCCCATTATACAATAAACTTTAAAAATCTAGGGTTACCCAATCACAAACTGTAACATTAACGGCTTTTAAGTGTATTCGCAGTCTTGGTACCTCCAAAAGTAATTCTGTTTCTGAGTCCTCATCATTAAAATCGATGAATTTGAATGTAGCTAATTTCATTTCTTCAGAATTCGCCAAAAGCAAACTATTTGTTTGGACGATCTCAAACAGTGAAGCTAAGTCTTGAAGAGACTTCGATCTTGTCTGGAGTTCAACTCTAAAAAAGTTGAGTCACCGGGTGGGTGTCACCCCAAAAAGGTGACACCCGTTGCGGTTTTTGGATATGTTTTTTTTTACTTTTGTTTATTTTAATTAATTGCTTTGCATGTAAAAATGATTAAATGGAGTGTCTTCCTTTGGCAGTGTAATAGCCCAGGAAACTTAGCATCAACGTACATTATCACCATCCATAATGATTTGTATTTTTCAGTGTGCCTCCAGAACGGGACTCAATTTTAAAGACCTTATTAACTGCAAAGAAACTATAGGAGATGATCTTTTAGCAGCAAATGGTGAGAAATCCCAGAAAGTTGGTTATGGCTGGGTTCCATTTGTGACCTTCAATGATAAATTTGATGAAGCTATCAGCAATAGAGCGACGGAAGATCTTAAGTCAGTTGTGTGTGAATATCTTGCAAATATTCCTTATGCGTGCAAAATGCCTACAAGCGCGAACGAAATTAGTAAGGGAGTTAGTGTGTGTTTTGCTTGAAAGTTGTATTTGACTTGTTCTCAATAAATTATCTTGACTTTTTTGTTGGCGGTTGTTTAGTGCATCAGGAAAATGATGGGGAGGAAAAATTTTCAAAAAGCTTGACGAGGTGAGGAATATTCACTAATCTAAAACTAGAGATACTCGGAATTCGGAAAGCAATAGACCAGCGGAACACATCACAAGCTAAAACAGATGCAGCTAAATATAAAAGCCAAGCTCCACGATGTATTTGACCCGTCATTTGGTATTCAAAGCCGGACATTGTCTTCTTTAGTGGCCAAGGTGGACTGAACATTCTTTAAATTGTCATAGCTATAATAATGAAGAAACTATGTTAAAGACTATGGTTCTTTGTTAATCTAACAACAAATTTCTGGCGGCTGTGGACGGTCTGAACCAGTTAACTAAATAAGATTGACGTACTTAGCTGACCGATGTACTTTTGACAATTTATTTGGTTAAGTGGAAATGACAGTTTCAAACCGTATTAGAATCATTGCTAGAACACGCTGAATACTGAGCTGTCATAAGTAAAAACAACAAGTAATCACATAATCAGCCTTATATCCCAATCATGTTTTGTATTTGTTTTTAAAAATAAAATTGATAATAAAGTGAGTTTTTTATATAAAACTGAAACGAACAAGTCATAGCTTTCTTTCTAAAAAATATTAGACAATCTAAAACAACATTTTCCTGTGCAGTAACAAGCCCATCAAAAGCCGGTCAGGCCGAACACATAAAAATTTGGCCGGACAGGATTAAAAAGCCAAAGCCCGACTGATGCAGTGGCGTGCGATTTGTTCCTCTGCTCTTTCCTTTTCGGGTCTCGAGTATAGAAGATGTTTTCTAACAGGTGGTACGCAAGTAAAAAGGACTCCTTCCGCCTTTGCGACCATAAGCAACCATATACAACTTTACACTTTGTATTACCCTGACTGACGAGTTGCTTATGATAATGGCAGACATTTATTTTATTCTTGGAACGGAATGTCATTTCAGAGATAAAGGGGAAACGTATGTGTTGCTTGCCATCGACGCACACTGGTCTATCTGTGCGAAAAGCTGACAAAAATTTAAAAAACATAGTATTGAAAAAAGGAAAATCATTATGTGTTAAACAATCAGGTGGTCATGGAATCGGAGATTTGCTTGCACTACCTTGACCATGACAGACTATTAAACCTGAAGATTTTGATGTATCTTTTGACATTACCTTTTAACGGCAAAACCAGAAAGCTTCTGTATCATCCGTTGAAAATTTTTAAGAATCTGAATATGGATCATAACAAAGAGAGTACGAGCCTTCATTTTCAAATGAACTTCTTTAAATACTAGTATTTTTATTTAGAGATGTTTTTAATAAGCTTCCGCCTCCCCCTATTTGGAATAAATGTATTACCCACTTGGGATAAATGATTTATGTGATTCCTTCAACTCACTGCCAGATAAAATCTAGTGTTGGTTATTGCTAACTTTTATAAAATATTAAGAAATATAACCTTATATATTATGGCCGGTGGCTGGAAATGGTTTTTCAATTTTTTCGAATTTATTCTTAGAGTGAGAGAATAGACAATTACGTCCAGGGATACTACAAAAAAATATAATGGAGGAAAACCAAATTTATAAACTTCAACATTCTTAAATAGCTTAAGAAAAACAAAATTCGTAAAAAACTAAGTCCCGTAAGAACGACTGACGATACGTCCCTAAAACAGCATAACGAACGAAAGCTATTCCGAAACACCCCTATGTTAAGACAATTCCTTTTTTATACGGCGTTGAAAAACCCTGTAAAGGCGGGTTTACACGCTACGTCTTATTGTACGTTTTGTCGGGCTTAAAAAAACGTACGACAAAACGGACGTTTTGTCCAGTGTATACGCACTACGTGTTTTCCCTTCCACTTTCTACTACAATTCCAATCTAGAATCTTGAGTTGTGTGAAGTTTGTTTAGTGAAATTTTTTGAGATACATCTGATTTATTTTTTTAACTATAAGGATACAACGACTGAGAGAAAAAGGGATGAAGAGGGAAGAGACAAGATGGTCAAGGGAGTGGCTTCTGAAAAGAAGCCACTATTCCCACGTCTCGTTATTGAAACAACTGAGGAGCGAACTCGATGATTATCGCAATTATTTGCGAATGGACACCTCGGCCTATTGTCAATTGCTAGAGTTAGTAACAGAGATTTCTGATGCCCTTACTTTTTTCAACTCTTTTTTGTAAAGCGATCTCAACGAGTTAATTTTTTTGTAACAGTGTCTTTATTTGCCATCGGGTCTATTTCTTTGTATTTTTTTATACTATCTTCTTATTAGACGTTTTTTTATTACGGCCAATATAGTCTTTATTTTCCACTTGCCACAAACTTGGAATACTTATACATTTCAATGCTGCAAGTCTGACATTATTACGTTTTTTGGGGAAATAGGAAGCGAACTGAAGTGTAGCTACTCGAGAACTGAGCCAAGATCGAACGTATTGTCTGAACATGAGTATACATGTTTCGTTTTGTCCTATCAGTTCTCACAAAATGATGCTTCTCCCATCAGTTTTTCAATCTGATCTCGGATTTCATTTCGACTCGACGTACGTGTTGCTGTTTACACGCCACGTTTTATTGGATAGAAGTTGTTCTGTCCCACAAAATGTACAATAAGACATAGCGTGTAAACCCGCCTTTAGATCCTGTTTCGAAAAAGCCTGTTAGATTCTGCACGGTGCGCTTGTCGTTCAAAAATTGCAGAACACTTCTGAATTCTTGCAAGAGAGTTTTTAAACGGTTTTGTCATGTTCAACGTCACTAGACCATTGATTCCAATATTGCAGATTTATTGTATTTTATTGAAGTGCTACAAAATTTAAGTATAAATTGCGTATTGAAATAGTTTTTGTTTGCTATAATTTGCAATGATGTGGCGCCCCTGGATCGTTGCGCCCTACCCTGGGGCCAGTGTCGAACTGATCTCTGATTCGAACTCAGTAACCAGAAAAACCTAAACAACATGCGGTCTCTCAACTCGTCTTCTTTAGAAAAGGTCCTTGATATGACGAAGTGACATTCATATGACCTCATTGAAAGAAACTAACCTCAGATTTGAAATCAGCAACCCCGAAAAAATCATATAAAGACCGTAGAAATTGCATTTCTTCCACTGTGAGACGTAGAGACGTCCGGTGAAATACTCATAGATGGCAACGTCACCTACTCGCACACTAAATACTGAGTTTTTCAGAGGTCCCTTATCCGCTTGCAATGACTACATCTCTACTGTACTGATTATTATTAAAAGCATAAAACAACGTACGTACGGTTGGTTATAGTCACAGAGATGGAATGCAAACTGACTCTATACAGCTTATGTTTTTGGTCGGAAAGATTATCCAACAGTCAATAGAACCAGACCGAAGCATTACTTCAAAAACAAAAATAAAAAAGCTCCCACTGCTCAATATCTCAGGAACAAAGCTTAGAAACCACTTTTCTTCAGTGTTGACGAGTTCTAACATATTTTCTATAATCCCTACGATTACAAATGCTGGACTATCCAAATACCAAAATGTTAAAATCTACACAGTCAAGAAGTTATGCTCGTACCCAAAACACCCAGACCAAGTCTTGCTCAACGGAGCATCACCGAGAGGGAAAGATTTCCAGCATTTGTTCGGCTGGTTCAGCAGCGCGTTTCAACCTGAAACACCGCGCTGAAAACAACTGAAAGTATCAGTACCTGCCGCGATAACAAGCGCGAACCGACGTCGACGTCGGCGACAGCGACGCGACGCCCGCGAATTTTGTTTGTGTGCTTCGGTTTTACTTCCGAAAGTGCTTTTCTACAGGATGTAGACAGGAACTACAATTTTTATATTGCAGGTATATTGTGTTTTTTTAAGTTCACTCTTTGTCTCAGTAACAGTACTTTATCTTAATTTTTTATTATCTTTATTTCAAACTTGACGTTTACGGGCATCAAGGTACCATCCCCACAATTAACAATTCAGAAATTTTTACGAATATGTAGGTTGAAAAATATGTCATATTCTTTCAACCTCCTCTAATATCTCTTAATATTGTGAACTCCGATGGCTAGTTCCGACATTTATGTCCAAGGGTATCTACGCATAATGCGCACATATAGTTTTGAAGATGTGTTGAATACACGATTTATCTCTAACGGCGGTTTTTCCATTATAAAAGCTGCAGGATGTTTAACGGAAATCATTCGACCTTTTTGGCAGGGTTCTATTCAAGTGAGGCTTTCGTCTTTTTTTAGAAACAACATACCTACTCGATATTCCTCTGAAAATTTCGTTTATCAGATTTTGAAAGTACAAGAAAAATGTCAGCTTATCACCAATCCATCCTTTATCTTGATTGAGTCCTCTCACACAAAATTCCCACCGACTAAGAGCGACAAAAACTCATTTTTCGCAGTACCTAAGTGATTAGTATTAATTAGGTTCTTTTTATATTTGCGGATTATTGCGCCTGTAGTTTGAACAAACTGTTGTGGGATTAATAGAAATAACTAGCTATACAAATACTGTTTTTATAGATGCATCATAGGCGAACCCTAAGAAAAGAAATACCGAGACGAGATCGCTAAATAAATTGTTTTCAATACCTGAGAAAAATCATCATCTTGGTGGCTACCTTAGCATATATTCGTATTCTTGGGTAGCACAGCCATGGATATTAATTTTGTATAAAAATTAAAAAAAACATCCCTTGTATAGTATGTACACTGGTGCGATTATAACGGAAAATGTATTTCAATACAAGAACGCATTATAAACAAAGAACGGGGCAAGCTTTAATTGTTTGATCAATGGATTATTTGAGTGATTTCTAGGAAACTTACTCGTTCAGCTTGTATGAGACATACAAGGAAATGTGGCTAGCTATTAAGAAAACTTCATATTTTGGGATATAAGTCGGAGTCCTATATCCTATTAAACATCCACCGTTTTTTACCAGACCACAGCACATAAGTACCAGTTTACGCATCCGTATAAGGCGTTTAGTCGTTGCAAAGTTTTTCTTTAGAGTGGTCGTTCTTTGTTACCAATAACGGTTAAGCCTTTTAGTTGTATCCTCAAAGAAAAAGAATTCAACAGGTGTATAATAAACGGGAAAATTGTCACTTGCCAATTTTCGTTCATATTTGCCATTTGAGTCGTTTACATTTATGTAGAGATACCCTGGGGGCACAAGAAGCTCGGAACCTGCGGCTAAGGGACTCCAACCATAATCTGGAGTCTTATTTAGCTGTTAGGGAACATTGAACAGCGCGAGGGACAGTTTTTTTGAAAAACCGTTTGGCTTTTTGGCATTTGGAAGCCCCCATCAACACGTAACTGTTAACCATATAACTGTAAATTTTGAGAGCTTGGCCATTCACAAACTTTATTAACGTGCTTACCTCTCAGAATAGATTAGAATCAAACTATTCATACAGTTTATCCATCCATCAAATGTGACTATCTCGTTATATTTTTGTAAGATTACCATAATGGACGAAATGAATTACTCTAGTATTACTGTCATACATTTTTGCGTAACTTTTAATTACATCCTCTTTCCTATCATTGTCAAATATTATAATTCGCTTGCTCCCATTTTTTACCAAAATTTTCATGTTATCCAGCCACTTGTAGAGCAACCAATATATATTTTTTTCAATAATTTCCTAAGCGGTTTGAACGCAATTATCGACGCGTAATGACAAATAAAGAAGAAACCAAAGAGCAATTTCTAAACTGTGGTTCTATCATTGTAACCATACAATACGATGAAAAAGTAGGACTAATATCAGTGCAAAGTGCGGCTAGCTGCACTTTTTTCATTCTTAACAAATGGAAAAAATGTAATGAAGAAATCAAAACAGCTTTGTCCTATTCCCACGTTTTTGCTAGTGAAGTTTGCTTCAGATCTATTGGGTCTATAGCACATCATATTGATATGCTATTTTTGTATGTCTAGCATATATAGTATTGCGATTTTATTTTTATGCGAATGAAAATTATGCTCAGTTTCGAAAGATCGCCTGAGACTCTCAAATTATACAAAGGTTCACACAGGTTTGAGGAAAACCGATAATGAGTAGTAGCAGATCTTATTCATATTAAATTTAATTTGAAAGCATGAAAACCCTGATGAAAACCTTGTTACAGAGGTAGTATCATCAAAATGGCTCATAATACACCCGTTTTCAGAACTTTCAGGCTATGAATGGTTGGACCGCTGACTTATTCAGAGAGAGGTTTTTTTAGAGGGGTAGTGGTAACATCTCAGAAGATACTGCTCCAAGCAAATTATGCCAAATATATAGTTTTTTGCCGACATTTAAGGATAAAAGCGGCTATATAGAAAAATAAGAAGAAATAATCGAATATACTGAAATGCAACAGCTAATTGTTGCCGATTTTTATGAAAATGACAATCAAAGGTGTATTTCTTCTTATTTTTCAAAGTAAAATTTTAACAAAAAAGTGTATGAAGATTGTGTAGCTTTCTTTTTACAGACATTTTAACATTATACCGACGTCAATCACTAAATTAATAAAAATGTTGTTGCAAAAAGCTCTCACGTATGGATCATTTTCAAGATGCTTATATCTACCTCAAAAACAAATAGAATTCCATGAAAATACGTTACAATGTAGCCTTTGGAGAAGCAAAAGATGATGATCTACTCTACACCTTTCTTTGTTGCCAAAAAGTCTTCTGAGGGTGGTTGCAGTATATTCTGGTAGTAAAATGATAGCTTAACAAATAGTATATGACTCCTGATGCGGCGTATATTTGATTACACTGGAATTAGCGCGCATTATGTTTGCGGATACAAAGGCACGTCGTGTAAGCAGTGACGTATGATGTGAATCTACAATAGGTAGCTGGCCATTCAAGTTGTGGCGTGGGATAGCTTCCTTTTTATTAACCTGTGGGCATGGAGGAGGACGTTGGAACCAACTGCTTGGACTAGTAAGTGACCTCTATTAGTATTCGAATCCAATGCCCACTTTAGTTTGATCCCTTCGCCTTGAACAATAAAATTATTTTGTGCCAAGTATCAGTGATGATTTGTGTTCAGGATTATGTTCTGGTGGCTTCCCAATGCTAGTTTTTTTCCACTTCACCAATAGCCAAACGATTAGATTAGATAGCAATTACAACCCATTGAGTATTCAAACATTTTGATAACGTGCCACTTGACTGCTCACCTATACAAAACGGCTTCCTGTTTCCCTTTGCCCTTATCGCCAAAAACTAACTCACCCTAACACCACGAACCTTCGACCTCAGAGCTTATCGCATTTGGTCACGGTGAGTAGCGTTAACAGAGGGTCTGTTAACACTGCACCCATCCACATATAAGCAATTAAGATGATGGTACTTCCGTTTTATTACAATGTACAGAATTTTGAAGTGAAGTTTGAACAAAATTTACCATCTACTTCCTGAGATAATCCGTATTATTTCATGGAAGAGACAAAATTCTCGATTCTGTCACAACTAACCATCCGAATTTTACGAAATACGAGGCTTATTCTGACTTAAGGAAGAACGGGGCAGTTCTGGCTTTTGTCCGCGGCAGTCACTCCTATTCCAGAGACATTCGGCTTCGGCTCAACTTCAAACCATTTTTCAAATTTGTTTGCTGCCCCTATCGTTCTCCCTCGCATAGTATCTGAGATGACCTACTTGGATACCTTGATGTAAACATCGAATTCCGAAACGTCAATCAACCTGCTTCAGAGGTAGTTCTCCTCGGTGATTTCAATGCTCATCATGAGCTCTGACTGGGATCAAACAAGACCGATGCAGCAGGTCGTGCTGTTGAAGCGTTCGCTATTACCCAAGCTGCCACCAGCAATGCTTTGTTCCCTCGCTTTATCTCTTTCTGACCAGACATGCGATCCTGTCTCCCCTAGGAAACAGAACATTTGTTTTTCAGTATTTGCCACTGGGACAGCGAATAAAAACCGTGCAAGCAGCAAATTAAAATTTAGACGTTGTACTGTCGCACCGCTCCTGGGGAAACTGGCGCACTGGTCTGTTCTTGTTTATTTACTTCTGCGAGCGCAGTCTCTGGGCGACAATGCCGTCGCGAATTAATCGCAGTCGCCGCGAAATATTCGCGTCAGTCTGGGGGTAGCTTAAGTTGCGTAAAGCTAACGCAATATTCATAAGAATAGCCAAACCGTATTCGAAAGCAGTTCAATATATTAAACGACTATATAGTAATTATTCCGGTATTTTGACAATATACCATCAGGCTGCCCATCTGTACAAAGCCGCATCGTGTTTCCCTTTGCCCTCATATCCGTAAAAAACCGTCAGATGTGTAGGGTGAGTCTCTACACCATGAATGTTTTGCATCTGGCATTGACCTCGGCGCTTCTGGTCCGTGGTCCGTTTAAATAAAAAACGCATAATTACCGCTTTCATTGTAAAAGTTCACGATCCATAGAAGGTTCGTTTCCTCTACGGCTGACAGTGCTGGCACATATTTTCGAATCATGAAATGGTACAATAGGAAGTTTCGCCTGTTCTTCGTAAACGAACAGTGGCGCAGTTTCCTTACAGATAATACAGGCGTAGGGCTACAGCACTAACGTACAATTTTTTATATCGCGGTCTTGGCGAAAGTATAATAAAGGCAGAGAAAATGGCTATAGGGGAAACTACATACGAAAATTGCCTTCAAAGGTATCCAAATCTTAATCAATCCAAAGGAATGTATATTGTGTGAAATTGCCCTAATTTTGATGGGTGCAGTTTTGCCTGAAAAATTTTGAAAAAATTACCGATCCTACATTGTTATATCCTTCATAACCATGATTTTCTTATCAATTTGTGAAACGTATATA